AAAAAAGTTACCAAAACGAAGAAATAAACACTCGGAATTATATCTGACAAGATAAACCATCGTTTAGATATTTCACTCCCGAAAATATTTCGGTATGATTCGAACTATGGAAAATCATAAATGCATTTTCGTCGGAATTTTTTATCGAGCATGAGAATATGGACCATCTTGTACTACAGGTTGCGCTGTGCTAAATTCCAAGAGGACCTATTTCCATGTCCCAACACTAATTCCTCCTGAAATTTTGCTCAAATCCACCTGAAAAACGTGGGGCTCATATGTCCGTGCCCTATAGTTTTTGGCAAAAGTATCCAAACAAAGCGGCTTTTAATTATTGAAGCGTCTGTCATATAGATTGCACGGTGTTCCAAACCTTTTTTCACTTACTTATGCTGGCTAAGATACTGACTGCTTTTTTGTTTCCACAGATATTCTGGGGCCTAACATTGGAGCAAAGGTCTGCGAGCTTTCGCACATCAGCAACAGTAGAACGATGGTCAGTTTTCTTTTTACTCAAAATCCTTATTTTTCACGCAGATATCGCATTGTTTGTAGAACTTAGACGTGCTGCACTGGAACCTGGTAACTAAGCTGCTAGTCGGCAACCTATTTAACTAAAGATTCGCAGATTTTGTTCGATAAGTGTCTGTTGACTAATCGACCATTAATTTTGATAGTAGAAATGAAACAGAAAATACAAAGTTGCTGAACATTGATAAAAGGACGGTGAAGTATAGAGAATTTAGTTCTTAATAATAACTAAGGTGTTCGGGTAACGAGGATTTATGTAATTTATTCTGATCCGTGTAACACCTCAGGTGCGAATGTTGGTCAGGTTCAAGTGTTTCTTCCCATTTCTCTCGGTGCGTTCGGCTGCCAGTTGTCCGTGCAGTCGGATCCACAAATTGTTCTCGTTTTTTTCCTTTTATGTAGACCACGGCGGTGTTTTGGCGTTTGGGCAAGTGCCCTTTAACTCGGTCACGGCGATAAAGTATAACTTATGATTTCTGAGCCATCTTCCAAATGAGATTACAAGAGTTCAGAAACCCTTTCTGGATGCTTCACAAATAGGAATTGCTTTCATGTGGCACAGGAGTGTTCAAAAGGTCAGTCTGGGAATTTTTTAGTTGAAGACGTCGTGAGGCAAATCTTTGGTAACGATGGGGGTGAAAGACCTCACTTAACTCTCAGTAGACTGTTAACCGTGTCAAATGGGGTTTTATCTTGCCGTCCATTTGTCAGCCGTTACAGGCATTACACTATCAACAATAATTGCTTCCCATGACACCAAACCATTACCCAAACTCCGTTATTTTTTGAAAATTTGCTTTTTGTTTATTTTTTAGTTAACGCGCTCCTTCCTGTTGTCATACGAAAGCGTACCACTAGATTTTCGGCAAAAGTCCAAAAAATTTCTGCATTTCCTTGCATTTTGTCAGCTTTCTGTCTGGCAGGCTGCGTTGCTTGCGAAACCTCCATTACGCCCATTCACGCATGACACGATCCACCGTTTACCGACAGTTAAGTGGAGTCCTTCATCCTACCGTTGCCCAGTCTTTGTCAACGAGACAGGATTCATGAACTAATACGGTCGGTTCCATAGCTGGCATAGAAGCTGCCCTCTTCTATCAGCGGTTCTTCTAAGTTATTTGTCACAGTCTATGGAGGCGAGACACACAGAAAGAAAACTGTACTTACTGCAGAAGGAGCTAAAAAAGCTTCTACGCGTAGTCTGAATTGTGCTTTCACCGTTTTTAGTCTATCGTCAGCACACGAATGGGAAATCATGCCATAGAATAAACACAGTCAGCAATGCTGGCGAGCCCATTTGTATGCGAATAAAAGGCCTACGTTTGGTCAGCTTTCCTCTCAAGCCACCTAATGCCCGGTGGAACAGTGAAGAATGAATACTTTAGATGACTTGCCGATAAGTGGTGAAAATAGTTCATAGCCTTCTTAGAAAACTACAGTAGAAGGCCCTGGCGTCTCTTCGTTATGATCCAATGCAAGTGAAGAAATGCACAGGATTTTAGACAAATGGTACTAGAGTACCACACACTACTTCCAACCAGAAAATTTATCCTACGGGCCGCTTGAAAATTCTAGTCCACCTTGAATTTACTGTCCATTTGCGGGACGTCTAGTCATATCGAGTTCACGAAATCTGCACATGACAAATATATGAGAAAAACCGCAAAAAAATAATGGATAACGCGAGTAGCGATGGCTCAAAATCTCATGAATATGGAACACTGTCGATCATTTAAGTTACAGATTTCTGGACAGGACTGGATTTAATATAATGAAACATTGGTCGCTGAGAAAGCACCAGCCTTCTAACATGATTTTCGCTGATGTGTCTGTTCATTTTAGTACGACATATAATTTCTAAGGTATGCTTCCATGATATCAAAAATAGTCTTTGGGCCTTTTTTAGCTGGCAAAACCTCTTGTGCTGAGCGTGCTTGCTAATCAGTATCTAACCCTACAAACCTTTTTGCTTGGTTGTGGAATTTAACAGTATTTTTATTCTCAACGGCAGTGCGGCCTAGGTTGTCGCAATAAATAGACTAGGCCTCCGAGGTTATACACAGACGAAAACGATAGGTCAATCCACTTGTTTCAACAAAGATGTTCGGTGGCGATATTATGTCGACCGAGGTGTTCGCCCTGGAGTCTGGGCGTTAGGATGCAGAACAAAGCAGTCATAATGCCAATCAGAGCCTTACGCCAACGCGCAGAGTGGACGGTCTGAGTACTTGGCACAGATCCAATAAACCACACAACGACGATTGTTGATCTCATCCCCGGCTTACAGTTACTTCCTTCAGGCTGACTGTTTTTACGAGCCTTCATACTTTTTCATTACAACCATCTTTTAATTTATCCTTGGTGGCATATTTCGTGCGTTGTCAATAGTCTGTTCCTAAATTGTTATAAATACTAGTGTTTCATAAAACTGACAATATAAATTCTAAAGTGAAGGCGCTAATACCATTCAACCTAATAGCAATGAGAATGAAAAGCTGGAGAATGAGCCACATTTGTCCCTCGCCAGTTATGAAGGAGATGAATAATTTGCTCTCGAGTCTTGGGCTTTTGAAACCTATGTTTGACTTACCATGGCAAATTACCTTAACATACACTATCAACTACGTCTCAATGTGACTCAAGCATTCCAAATTATTGGCCGTTTGCAATACAGGAAGTTGGAATCGCGAAAATATCCCCTAAGCTAACTTATTATCGGCCTTTGTGATGTAATTTTTGTTTGGCCATTCAAAAAATGCGAGCCCTCTTCATGGCGCAGGTATGTTTTTGCTCCCGTTTCATATAAAGACCTTTGGACCTAAATCTCCGCAAGCGAAAAAGAGGCAATTCGGTCCGGTTTCACTCCCACAGGAGGCCTTGCAACCGACGACGGTGCCCATTCTACCTTTCTGTCCTTTGCCGGACAAATGCAGCCCAGGGGAGTTGATGCCTCGGCCCTGTACGACCAGCCTCCTGTCCACGCTTCCGCCTGGAGTTTCGACTAATCCCGTTGCAAGAAGCAGACACCTTCTTAGGCCTTGTAGCCAGACCGCCTCGCGGTACCAGGAAGTACAAAGGAAGTCCGGTGATTTCCGCTCGGCAAGCCATAAGCCGCCTTCTTTGCTCGGAATCACTGGCATCGGTGGTACTGCCATTGGGCCAAAAGATAGTTCCTCTCTCTGGCAGCCCTGCACCATCAAGCCAGTTGAATTTCCTGCCTTCTTCGCTACCGATATTCACAGTGCTTGCTGTCGTCGGAGACACTCTAACTTGGATCGCGAGCCGTCTCGTCTGGAAACCCGTGAGACTGCAGGGGCAGGTAGGACACTAACCAGAAAACTTGCTCATACTAAAAAACGCGGTTTGTGTTGGGGATTGTGCGCGGTGATTAGTGGCACGCACTCTTTAACATATATGTACCAAATGACTTTAAAAAACTAACTGGGGGTAGCCATAAATTTGTCTTTTGCACGATACGAAGCTACGCCGGAGGTAACACGGATTTTACTTCATTACGTCGATCATTAGCATCTGAGGCTTAGGAGAAAAGGCTTAGTGTTTGCGTTTAGCAAAACCATTTCTGATTTCACAGAAAAATTACGTAACCCACGATTGAGGGGATAACACAATTGTTCTCTCAAAGAATTACTTATTTACCCTGACATCGATTCGAATATTAGCAAGCGTAATGTCACCTAACCTTTTTGCTCACAATGATTTAACCGGCTGTTAACTCGCACGGCGAAGTATATCATCTCCATCTTCGAAATGCGCGCAGTCCGAAGAAGACCCATTTTTACGAGATTTTTCATCTCGACTTTCATTAACCTCGATCTATCTCAGCTTAATTACACAGAAAGAATAGATAAACTTATCTTGTAGGATATGCTTGGCTTTCGAGAATTTGTCGAATAAGGCTTAACATTTGTGGGCTCTTACTGGCCAAAGGATTTTGTCTGTCTGTTATTAAGTTTTTAGGTCGGTTTAAAGTCTAAACCATGTTTGAACGCAGTTTGTAGAAGTCGTCGTCATCGCAATCAAGTAACGTATCTCGAAGCTCTTTTACGTCATTCAAAACAAAACCTTTTAGGGTGTATAAAGTGCCCTGCTGGTAGTGCTACTGGTAAGCCTAAGCGGGAAGACTCTCATTGGGTGTAGTTAAGGCTCGTGTCTGCTAAACGTCACCGTCACAAACTCGAACATAAGGAATGAGGGCGTTTATTCAGAATCCTTTCAAAGACATCAGATCATTTTGTTATGGAGACCGACGGAGGAATAAGAATTCCCCGTCGGCCATACAGGTAGTCTTGCGCTAAATTCCAGAAAAGGTACATATTTACGTGTCCTATCCCTAACACTGCCCTAACCAAAACCTTAACCCTGACCCTGACCATAACCCCACAGTAAACCCTTATCCCAACCCTCAACTTAACCCTATCCCTAATCTTCCCGGAAATTAGCGCAAGGCCATCTGTATCTCGGCGGGAGTTCCTGTTCCCAGGTCTTTTCGTTTTTACAAGAATAACACTCAAGATTAAGTGATTTTACCTATACAGCTTTATTGATACTCGCCGCATATTTCCCTTAGAAGTAGACTTATTAGCTTTAGTCGTTGCAACACCTCTCTAAGCGGTTAGCTAGTATCCATCTTGGGTGTATGGTCAAAATCCCTACGTCGTGGAAATTTCAGGAAATCATCTGTAGTCCCCCTGTTTACTGATTAGGACTTTTATATCTCTGTTCGTGCATGACGCCTCTTTGCTCCTCTCTTTTCAAAACAGGAAAAGAGCCAGCCGGCTTGAATTGTGGAAGGTAGGCTATAGCATTCAGTATTGTTGCGTTGCTTGACAATTCCAGTATTGTTTATGCACCTGTTACTGCCATCTAACATGCTGTTAGTACGGTACTTACGTATTTTAATCTCCCAACTTCTCACGTAGCTACAACAGTTTATGATTCCCCATAGTGCAGCTACAATTTTCACAATAAATCTATAAAAACGAAAATAAAACTCTCAGAAAATTTGTGATGATCGTCTTTTTGTTTGGAACTTGTTGGATTTGTTGTTTTGTCCAAGGAACATACGTCCAGCCCTGACTAAGAGAACTCAGTTCTCCGTGGCTACCGATAGTGACAATTTTTGGTTAATTATGATGTGTGGGGCTATAGCGTGTCAGAACGTCGTGCGTCCTGGCTTAGCGTGCAGTTTCCGCAGACTTAAGCAACATAACGCGTTATTTCAACTCTTCACGTCGAATTTTGCGTGTGGAAGAAAATTGCGCTAAGGTCACAGTACAATGAATGGATTTAATCATTCTTCTCGAGTAAACATAATGAGAGGTCTGTTCTTAGATTTAGTGAACTCCTTAGAATAAAGTGCAAATGTGCCTGTATAGGTGAAATGTATTCGAGGCAGTTCTTTCTCGAATGTAAATAGGACTGCTTGAATCGTTTGCAAGCTGTCGTTTTCTAGTACTTTTAAGACCAGAAAAAACCATTCTATCGTAGTTCAAGGTGAGGGGGCAAATACCTTAAATAGGACGCTACCTTTGCTCAGCAAAAGGACAAATGGAAAGATTGTTGAAGTGGCCTAATGGTGTTCTGAAAGCGCCGACAAAATAAAGAGAATTTTTCAGTTGATATTTCGGGAATGGATGTGCGATATTTATAAGAAAATCCTCGCATGCTTATTTTCGCTTGTCTATACGACCGAAGAAAAATGTATGCAAAGGCCGCAGTTGGCTTCCGGTCTGGTACTGCTGCATGCAGTTAACTGATTTTGGATGCCTGAGCACTGCAGTACATGTACCCATCCGACATTTCTTGCTGAAAATCCTCGGAATTATCAACTGAACTGGGTAGGTTCCTAATCGAGAAGCCAGCCGACGTATCTTCTGCAGAGAAAATTGTTTTTGGTCAGTTTGCCTTCTTCCAATTAGAGCACATAATACAAATAGTTGGTGGACGCATTTTATATGGCGTCAAAGGTGACCTGTAAGCTAATAAAGAAATTTCTGAAACAATCTCATTAAACTGGTATGAAATACTGAATGAGAGTGGGTTGCTCACTGAGCAACTGTTTACTGACATTCACCACCTTACGACTTAATTTTCTCAGAACCACAGAGTGATACAGGCATAAAAGATCTGCGAAACTCTGGGAAGTGGTTCAGCAAACTTCAGCCACGGCAGAGAATACTTCACACTTTCGCAAAAAGAATACGTGTGGCGTGCATCCACAGCATAAACATTGCGAAGTTTTGGTCACTTTGACCTGCAGTCAATTATTGTCGAGATCACAATGTAATTTGCCCGCCGGAACATAGGACATCCGACACTCGGTACGTCTACTCATGGTTGACGGACCAATTAGCATTTCAATGGTCTTGAAGGTCTAAAAGAAGACCCTTGTGTCCAAAGTCCAGATATTCTTTATTTTTTCACAGGAAATCAAAGAAAAATTACCTGGCTGTCGGCAGCTGAGATAATAAATTAGGATTCAAGGTGGCGATCTGTCTACAGCGTGTCGAATGTTTAAACTGCACCTTGGCAGCTGGGGAACGAACACCGAAAAATGATAAGAAATGTAAAAAGAAAGTATGTGGGAACTGTAGTGAAACCGAGAGTACACGGTGTGGTGTAAATTCTACTGTCGCCAAAAGAAAGGTGTACAGACAAGCACGAGGATATTGTTACTTCAAAGATCCAATTTCTTAAAAATGTGTTTGCCTTCATCGAAAAAGGAGTCTAGTAATGGTACTGGAGTCAGCCATCCGGCCTTCCATCCTAACCTATTTCCGAAGTCGCCTGTTACTTCCTGCGATATGTTTGTTCATGCCAGTCGTTCGTGATCCGTTTGTCATGTGTACCGCTTGCTGAAACCCCGTGGAGACTTTCGCAGGAGTAACGGAGGTGACCAAGGACCGAGGTGACCAACGGAGGTTCACCAAGGAATAACGCGAGTCCATTTTGTTACCGTCCGTGGAAACAGCAGAAATCGACTTAGAACAAATGGTGATTTGCGGGAGGATTTGAAGCCTTGGGGAAGTGGTTGTCGATTTGGAATTTGCAAGTATAGATCTAACAATTTATAATATAAAAGGATCTAGCGAAAGGGTGACTTCTTTCAGGAACTTTCTCAGCAGTAGATTGGGCTCACTCTCACGTAATATGGCCAGGTCTAAAGCTTACAAAACCATTCCTGACCAAATCACATTTGTGTTACACCATAATGTTCTGTCCATCTTGCAAGCCCTAGTTTGGCCCGCAAGATCCAGTCACTTGTGTCTCACATCACCATTTCGGCAGTATTCAAATTCATGCCACTTCATCCTACTACGGAAAGTGCTGGTATTCTCCGACAAGTAAAATCTGCCAGGGCATTTTTATACGAAAACCGCACTCACAGAATCAAATGTGACTACTTTATACGTACACGCTAGACATTTGAAGCATCCTAAACCAGGTCTTAACCGCATGTGTTTGCCAAAAGCGCCAACATTTACATGGCAGGGCAAGTAAAAGCAGTCGCGTTTATTCGCTCCTCAAAGAAAATCCTGTCTCACCAAGGGTTAACTAGTCATAATATTATGATTTAGTACAATAATAATGTTTCCTAAAATTTGGAGTATGCGTCGAAGTTCAGAAAACAGATAAAACGCACGCGTAAAAGACCCCAGAAATGACTTGCTTAACATTCTAGTTTCGATAAGCAGGAAAAAACACGACCGACAAACTGGAGCACTACCTCATGCTGACCTTCTCTTGACTTTTCATCTATCATCTCAGATGTCCCACCAGAATTACCTTAAATTTGTATGGCATATGATCTTACTCGTTTTTGGACGCGTCGTATATCAGTCCTCTTCTTGAGCTTTAATTAACGTTTTGGAGAATTCGCAGTTCGGTGAAGAAAGTGTCCCTCCCTTGATACTGATAGCCGGGCGGCTTTGCTAGAATTCCGTCATTCTGCATAAGTATGAGTAAGCGGACGTCACTCTAACGTGAATTTAGTGTTCCAGATAGCAACCAACACTATCCGACCCCATTGTTTTGCGGTTAGAGCGTTCGAATAAAATGCTAGTGGACCGACTGACTTGGCACCAGATGCAAAATCAGCCAACGCTGGGTGTTAGATACACTCACGTTCAAGATAACAACTTTATAATCTTGGAAAGTACCACTTTTTAAGGCTACGTGTTGCGCATCACTGAATACGACCGCTCACGTGAATGGCATTTTTAGCCAAATGTCCGTGACGCATCCGAGCAAGGCAGTTCGTTATCCAGGAATCTAACTTCGTGGACATAACTTTCCAGTTTCAAGCTTGTGTTCATTAGCGGAAAAAATAATTCATCTTATTCCTTATATCTTTATACCTGGTCTTTTGAGTTGGTCATGGTCCGCATTCGTTGCGGCTTACCGTAACTATTCCGGGGTTCAGAGCGTAGACAACGGCCGACATGATCTGGCGGCACGTGGTATCGGGTCTGTGCGATGCGTCCTCTTGCAATTCATTAATAAACAACAACATATGACATTAGTTCAGTGCAAAATTTTCTCTCAGTGTAAAATGCTGTCACTTCCTTCATTTTCTGATGCATTCGCGAAGGAGACTGAAAGCTCATGTAAGCAGACGCAATCTTTCAGAGATTTAAGTCCCTCCTGCATTTGTTCAGAAGAAGTAGATTTACAATGTCATCCGCGAGAATGCAGCATTTTCATATTTCTAAAAGAAACTATTACGTACACATAAATGTGGAAAAATGAGAGGGTAGTAAACACTATTTAAGTCGTGTAATTTCCAAGTAGCTCATCTAAGTGTGTTAGAAAGTTTTCCAGTGTATGCCAGTGAGTAGTGGTGTGCATATCTGAAGTTATATGATGAGCTTATCGGGGTTGCAACTTCATATGCATTTATTGCATTTTGAAACCCATTTCGGCTGATCCGCAGATGTTTTGTAGCCGTCGGTCAATATTTTAAAAATTACGGTCCATGCATGAGAAAGTATTTTCGGACAGTATGTTGGAATAGCTGTTGAGAGGACTCGGCGTTGAAACATCTGGGTTATCCATAAATCACGCTGGACACCTGTAGTGGTTGCCTCTGTTTGAGAGTAGAGCAGTCCGGCCAGTCATTTCTCATGCTTAAATGCTTATCTCTTTCCTCTTTTAGTCAGCTCACAATGCTCTGAAAAGTCCTGTTGTGCGGGGATGGAAAGTACGCATTTCAAACGGAAACCCCGGAGTTATCACTGTTCGAAGTCTCCCAGAAAGCAATGTTTCTATCCGAAATCGCTCAGCGCTGGTCCGGTTTACCCCGTTCTTTCTCCTGGAAATCCCGCTGCCTTAGTCTCCGCCAAAAAGTCCCATGCCGCTTTATCAAAAACATTTGTCTTCTCGACATCGATGCCGAAGCAGCCCCCCAAGAAGCTCCAGAATTCCCAGTCTTCCATGTGTAGTGTTCAGTTATTGCATGCTCCAGACCCAAAAAATTTAAACCGGTCGGATTTGGGGAATATTGGCTTTAACTGAACATCCGCGCGGTCTTACCACTAAACGCCTTCCATTTTCACAAGGCATCAGACAGACTCAGACATCACATACTCCAACTGCTAGCCGTCGAGACAGGCATTTTGTCTAAATTTGACGGTTATGAATCCCACTGAAAAGACGATATTTTTAAAAATAAAAATTCACTCAGTTCATACGTTTGCGTAAATACGCAACACGTGCTCAGTTAATTGTATGCGTTCTGCTTTTTCTTTCACATCTGCTGCGAGTACCATACCCAGTGGATGCATCGCGTAATGTTAC